TTACACTTCCAAATCACTGTTCATCATCAAAGGAAGCCAGGACAGGAACTCAAACAGGGCAGGAGCTTGGAGACAGGAGCTGATGCAAAGGCCATGAGCATGAGTGGTACTGCTTACTAACCTGTTCTTCTTGGCTTACTCAGGCTGCTTTCTTATAGGATTCAGGACCACCAGTCCAGAATTATCCCTACCCACAATTGGCTGGACCCTCCCTCATTGATCACTAATTGAGAAAATGCCCTACAGGTTTGCCTGCCTGCAGCCTGATCTTATGGAGGCATTTTCTGAATTGAGATTCCCTCCTCTTAGGTGACTCTAGCTTGGGTCAAGTTGACATACAAACTAGCTGGCACACATGGCTTCACTGAGATCACACCTGGCAGTGACAGACAGCTGGAGCTTGAATTCTTGTCTGTGTCATGGCAGATGAGGTATGTGGCTAAGCAGGAACTGGGCAGGCTTGGCATGCCTGATCACCAGCTCAATTCAATCAAACTACGTGCTTCTGTTTCCTCCATCTTTTCCATTCCCCTGCCAAACACCTGATCTCTCTGGACCTTCTTAATGTCAGTATGAGATGAGTTGATGAAGCAGTGTTCTATCCTTCTCTTTCTCACACAGGACACAGAGCCCAGAGCCCTAGGGATCATTACAGTAGTCACCCTCCATGTATAGTATGGAGGGTGTTTGAGACACACACTAGAATACACAGTCTCTGATTTAATATTTTTTAATTCGTGGTGGCATAAACTGTGTCCATTCCCACGTTGCTCTTGGCTTTCAATGCAGTGCTCAGTGGGTGACAGCAGATGTTCAGCATACTATTTTGAAATAGGCTTTGTACTGGAAGCTTGATGATTTTGCTACCATAAATGTCCTCTGTCTGTTTAAGGCAGGCGAGATGATCAATGGGTTAGATGTACTAAATACATTTTGCATTTCCAGCTTACCATGGGGTCATTGGGATATGACCCATCAAAAGGTCAGGCAGCATCCACACACACACAAATAACTTTCTCAGATTAGCCCTGTGTCAAGTAGTGTAGCATTTTTCTAGGCTTCTGATACGCAGCTGCTCACCCAGGCTGCATGCTCCTCAGAATGGACTCTTCCCACCCAGTCCGTTATTTGGAATAAGTTGCCCTCCACTCTAGAGGCAAGACAGATCTCTGGGTAGCCAGCTGAAGTATGTCTCCTGCAGTCAGAGAATGGGCACTGCCAATTAGATTGTGAGTGGTGGCATTTTGCAAATATGTGTGTTGGAGGTTAGGGTGTCCACACATAGAAGCAGAGATTTGCCCACTTGTATATTTGTGGGGGCCAAAGGCTGGTAGTATATCTCCTGTTGCTCTCTTCCTTTCTTTTTGAGATGAGGTTTCCCACTGAAGCTGGAGCTGACCATTCAGGGCTGGTTGTCTAGACAGTGACCCTCCAGGGATCTGCCTGTCTCCACCTCCCAGCCCTGGGGTATCAGGAGTGCACAGCTACATCCAGCTTTTTACAGGAGGTTCTGGAGATCAGAACTCAAGCTTTCGCGCTTGTGCACCAAGCACTTCGCCTGCTGAGCCGAGCCTTCTCCCCAGCCCTCTTTATGCAAATATTATTAGAAGAAGCCCAGTTGAAGTTTCATGGTCCAAAACCATTTCTGCAGAGTCATCAAAAATAGAGATGGGAAAAATTCTACAGACTGCTATTAGATAAACACAGGGTTTTGGTTTTGTTTGTTTTGGATGCTGGGGTCGGAACCTGGGGCCTTTGGGAATGTTGTATCACACCCCAATCATAAAAGTTTCTTTTTCTAAATGTGTGCATGAGAGAGAGAGAGAGAGAGAGAGAGAGAGAGAGAGAGAGGCAGAGAGAGAGACAGAGAGAGAGACAGAGAGAGGAGAGTGTGTTTGTGACCTATTGTATTGCATGTTTGTGGATGTGTATGTGTGTGGGTGTGATACCTGGACTCATCTTCAATCATTCTTCTACCTTATTCATTGAGGCAAGGTCTCTCAATCAAACCCAGAGCATGCCAATATGGCATATTTCTGAGGATCCCCCATTTTCTGTCTTCCTGGATTGAAATTATAGGCAAGCATCCATGCCTCCTACCTGGCATTTATGTGAGTTCTGGCCATCTAAACTTTGTTCCTCATGCTTGCATGTATAACACTTCGATCACTGAGCCATCTCCCCAGAACATAAAATGTGGTGATCCAGTGTCATTCTGGAATCACCAAGCAAGGAGAGGTGCTCAGCTCCCTCAGAGAGGCTGAGAGACCCCCACTCTTTAGAATTCCTCCCTTCCTAGCCAATGTGCAGGTCTGTTTCTCTTGCTTCTCCATCAGCCCTCTGGTGTGTCTGTTTCCTCGGCTTCTGTTTTGACTTTAGGACAGAACCTGCTTTTGTTTCTTGTTAGAAAAGCCTCGACAGAGGTATTTAGGGCTACTATGATTTGGGGAAAACAATTTTCCCCTCAAAATTGATCACTTCGAAAGCAACCCTTGGGGCTGTCTAGATTGAGAAAGATCAAACTCAGGGTTAGCGGTTGGGGGGATGGAAAAAAATGCTGTTTTCATCTCAAAACTTTGTTTTCACTTAAAATATTCTAAGTGGGATCTTTCAAGAGTTCTGTTTTGTCTTCTTTGGTAGAAATCCAGAGGAGGCTCTGCCTGACTTAAATGTTGATTCTAAGACAAAACAAATAAACCCTGTGGCAGACACATTTGTATCTGAAGCAAAATGATTTTCAAGTCTGTAATTTAAACAACAACAACAACAACAAATCAGGACGCCTTCAGCAAAATAGTTTTCCAAGATCAGCTAAGACCACGGGGAAGGTGGAAGTGATGTGTGCCCTTGACAGTGCAGTCAATTTCTGATGGCTGCAGTTGGGGGAAGGTTGTCTCCTTCTGTGCACTCAGAGCTGCAAGAAAGTGGACTCTGCGCAGCCTTCTTCACATCTTACATGTTTTGTTTTGACATTGACACTTAAAGGTGTTATTTTCACAGTTCCTTACGTGTAAGCTTCCAGAGAGGAGCATTTGGCTCCTGGGGTTAAGGACACATTTGGGTTCAGGATTCCTTCTGGAGTCAGGGAGGACTGGGAGAGGAGAGGCAGTCCTAAGTCCCACCTCCAGCCCTCGCCAGCAGCTGCCAGGGAGCTGGTGACATTTTAGACCTTAGGATCTTAAACAAACAAACAATAACTTTCTTTTTGCTAAACAGCCAAATATGCCTTTTCAGATGAGTTCTCACACTATTTGCTCATCACCCCCTGATCCCCAAATGTTGGGTGCAAATGGTAGGGAGAACAGTATGGTCTCTTGGTGAAGGGGGATTGAGATGTTAATATGTTTCTCTGAGCTGCTGTGGGTCTTTTTTTTCTGCAGCGATAGAGATAAGAGTTCAGAGAGTTGCACATGCAACTCCAATATGCTCTACCGCTGAGTTCCAGCTCAGTGCTGAGGTATTTTTTAGTTCACTGTGTATCCCAGGCTGGCCTCAAACTCAGAATCCTTCTGCCTCTGGCTCCAGAGGGCTGGAATTACAGGTGTGGACCCCACATGCCTGCTGCAAAACACCCTTTACTGGGGTCTTCCCTGTCTCAGATTGGATGCAGATCAGTTGAAAGTAGGTTCCATCATTTCCTTCCTGCCTGAGCCCTTTTTGCCGTGGGTCTGGGTTTTACTCTTGGTGCATCCCTTGGATTTAGAACTTGATGCAGGTCCCTGACTCCCAAGGCTGCCTCCTCCACCTAGAGCAGTGGTTCTCAACCTTCCTAAAGCTGTGACCCTTTAATACAGTCCCTCAAGCTGTGGTGTAACCATAATTTTGCTACTGTTATGAACCATAATGTAAGTATCTAATATGCAGGATATCTGATATGGGACCCCTGTGAAAAGGTTGGTTGGCTCCCAAAGGGGTCACTCCCCACAGGTTGAGAACCACCCACCTAGATTATAGAAATTGGTCCTCACCCAAGGCATCCTTTTGACCGTCTTTTAGCTGTGGGAGAGACTACAGGATGCAACTGTAAATAAGACTGTTTTGGGTGAATGACATTGCTTCCTGATATCTGAAGGGAAGATATCCCAAGTGCCCAAGGCCACAGAAGGGTTGGCCTCTTGACATGTGTAACATAACCATTGGGCAGCAAACTAGTCCTAAGGACTGGAAGTGTGTCTTCCCCTAGTATTGGAAGTTGGTATTCATTAGAGAGCTCAAGAGGCAGAAGAAAGTTACACTGGCTGAAAAGACAGAAAAGGAATGCCCCGTGGTCAGAGACTGTAGGATTTCGCTGGAGGGCAGGTCTGCAGAGGAGTGGGGGGTGGGGGTGGGGGTGAGCAGCAGGAGGAGTTGTATGGAAGATTAGATGGCTAGTTTTCATGACTGAGGGCCATGAAGTCAGGAGGAATGAGTAAGTCAGTCAGAAGTTTTTAGTCTAGCACCCTAAAGGATAGCTTTACCTGAGATGGGTCACATGATGACCCAGGGTGCTGCCATTGTAACTTTCACATGCACTACCTCTGCCAGCCTCAGAGCCTTGTGCCCAGCCCAGTGTATGCATGTGGGAGGGGGAACTCAGAAGTTGGCTGTGGTGGGATTTACCTTGAGCAACTGTAAGACTATCTTCATTTGAAATGGAGATGTTTGTGGCAGTATTGCATCCATCATCCAGGCCCATTCAGGTCACCCCCCTAAAACAAAGAGAGTAGAAAAAAATCTCTCCTAATTGCAGGCCCATGATATTTTGGAATATTAGCTCTAGGACCCCCCTCAGAGATGTCCAAATCCATGGGTGCTCAAGTCCTATATATTAAATGGTATGGTATTTGCCATGAGCACTTCCTTCTACACTCATGAAGTCATCTGTAGATTAGCATAATCCAACGTAAATACTACTAAAATAAATAGCTGCTATACAGTTCTGTTCAGGGATTAAGGTCAAGAAAGTGAGTGTGAATGTACAGTAAGATGCAAAAAAAAAAAAAAAAAACACACACACACACAACACTTTCTGTCTGAGGTTAGCTGAATCTATTGATAAAGAATCCACCAATAGTCATTGGTGGTGGTGCACGCCTTTAATCCCAGCACCTGTAAGGCAGAGGTAGGTGGATCTCTGAGTTTGAGGCCAGCCTGGTCTACAAACTGAGTTCCAGGACAACCAGGGCTACCCAGAAAAACCCTGTCTCAAAAAAAAAAAAAAAAAAAAAAAAAGAAAGAAAAAGAAAAAAAATGAACTGACTGATTCTCTCTGGTTTTAGGAGGCAAAAGTTGTGGGATTTTGTTTGTTTGTTTTTAATTTTGTTTTCGTTGTTGACCTGAAGAATAGTATTTACCATATTCATAGTAGAAATCGGAATAGTACAGAAAGTAAAACTGTAAACAGTAAGCACATAGCTTCCACCCACCAACCTCTCTAGGAGAAACTCACATAAGGGCACTCTGCTGTGTCTGCCCCCATCACACAACACTGCAGGAGAGGTCTAGACTGTGGCCTTCTCAAGCAGCAGCACATTGTAGGGGGGGGTCTTCAAAAGTTGAGAACTTCATACATGAGTACTGTATCTGCATAACCCCCACCTCAAACTCCTCCCGGGTGCCCCCAGATTTATGGGATCTTCTTTAACTACTATTTTACATGTATATACATGTGCACATATGTATACACAGCCTACTGAGTCCATTTAGCTTTACTCATATGTACATGTGTTCAGGGCTGAGCAACTGGGCTTGGATATCCTACTCAAGACCTTGTCCCTGGAGGAAACTAACCCCCTCTCAGCAGCTATTGATCACCCTGTTTTATCAGCCACAGACTGCCAGGAGTTCCTTATCTGGGGTGGAACCATGTGGAATTTTTCCAGTCTTTATTGGCGTGTCAACTGGTGTTGTCCATTGCTGGTCTTGTTCAAGAAATCATATTGTTAAGATCTCATGGGTGCATTTTCCCTACAATGCCTAGGGGACACTGCCTGGCAACACACCAGAATTCTGGGTTTCTTGTTCTTGGGAGCTTTCTCCCTTTTCTGAGCCAGAAATGTAGAGGACTCATTAGGGATGTAGTAGTTGGTCCCTTATTGCCTGCATTTTGATCAGTTGTGGGTCTCTGTAATGATCTCCATCTGGGTGGAGGGTGAAGGCAGCTACACGTTGTAAATGTACTTAATGTCCCTGAGCTACACATGGATATGCTTCACAATCTGTGGTCAACTTCACAATCTGTGTATTGTGTGCCAGGACTGAAAAAATACTTGGCACTAAAAACCACTTGTTTATTTGACATTAAAGTCCAACTGGGCAGGCACCCTGTGTATTGTCTGCAGGGATTACAAATAAAAGAGATAGTGACATGGGTCATCTCAAAGGAACCCTGTGTCCTGAGGCCACCCTTCTGGGTCTCTCCTTCTATTACGAGGAATAGAGAGGGTGGGGACAGGAAATGGGACCCTGTTCCTTAGTAGAGCCACCCGGGCTCTATATTTCCTTCCCATTCCAGGATGGCCTGCCATTGCTTGTAAACACATGTGGGCTGTGTGTCTGTGGACAGGCCAGCTCATCAATTCACTGGGCTCAACCTCCTCATCTGTAAAACAAGGGACCTGGTCTTGACAACCCCTGATGTTCCCTTTCCAGTTGCAAAGCACTGTGAAGCTATCCCGTTAAACTGTGTCCTGCTGTTCATGTGGTTTGGAGATGTTTCTGTCACGGTGAAATCTTTTCCCCCTCCAGGGATGCCTATCTCCCTATTTGGTCATAGGCACTGTTCTATTCAGAACAGTTTCTGATATACATTTTAAATAAATCTACACCCCTTTAATCTGCTAGCAAGAGAAACTTGGAAGAAAACACAGTTTCGTCTTTGCATCACCAATGGGGATTTGATGTACACCCACCAGGATCCCTGGGGCATGATATCCCTTGGATATCAAAATCCACAAACATGAAATCCCTTCTATAAAATGCAGCAACATTTGCACATGACCTGTGTACTTTCCATTAATGGATAATTTACTTATAACGCCTATGCAATGTAAATGGTTGTGACAGTGTAGTGAGCGTTTAGGGAATAAGTAGAAGATAAAGTATGTGTTTAGCATGGATACATTTTTTTCCTGAATATTTTAAATCTGTGACTTACTGAATGCACATGCAGTCTCAGGGATACAGGGGGATGACTGTATTTTGATTTATGTTTTCAACTGGCTGGAATGAGAGGCGAGTAATTAAAAGTGACTGCTAGGCGGCTCCCAATGTCTCCATTTGCTCACATGAGAGTGGGGACTCTTCTGGTGTCTGGATGGTAGTATCCTTAGGAAGAGCAAGCTGGTTGACCTGGTATGACACTCAGAACAGCACATACACGAAGAGCAGTCACTGATGAGTTGCAATAGTGGCTATTGCCCTTTTTATAACCTATGCCCACTTTTACCCTCAAGTGACACAGAGGCACATCCTTGAGATACCATTGGTCAAACCAGTGAATAATTGCTCTTGGGAAGAAGAAAAAAACTTTCTAAATATAAACATGGTAGGAGAAATCCCAAGGGGGTGGGATGGAGAAAATGGCTCACTAAACACTGAAATCTTATGTACAGCAAAACGTAACATAGCAAACATACTGTAAACAAAACGAGAACGCAAACAGTTACTTAGGGATGATGTTTCCCACAATCAAATGACAAAAAAGCCCGCACAGCTACTATTTCCAGAAGCATGTCTAATAGTTGTGTTTATTTATGCAAATGACTTCGATAAGTAGTAGCACTCCAGCAGGGTGATGAGCAAAGAGGCAGGCAGCTTGGAGACCAGATGTTAAATGATGCACAGGCATTTAGGAAAGATCCTGGAACAATATAAGACCATGAAGACCAAGACCCTACTGACTCCATCAGTGAGAGGGAGCTACTCTGTTTTGTGAATGTGCTGTATTTTTTTCTTTCTGCCCTCATGACTACTTTCATCAGAAAGAGTGTTTGCGACAGTTTCAGGGTCACAGTTTACAACAGTTACAAAGCCACATACCATCATCTCCATGTTGCATTAAGGCTTGGAAAATTACAATATGCTGACTTTAGATCCATGAGGTTTTTACCTGGGGCCTTGATATGACATTGTAATTTGGAAAATGCCCCCTATTGAGATATGGTAACAGGTTGGTCAGAATTCTAAATAGTAAAGGCTCTCTCTCCTCAACTCTGAAAGTAATTTTCAAGACTAGTCCCAGATAAGTTTTGAAGATCCCCCCTCTGTATTGGCTTTTTACGAAATGATCAGTGTTTATATAATTCTCTTTCTTTTAGAATACTGTAGTTGATATACATTTATGTGTGTGCATATGTGTATGTATGTTGGAGTACAGAGGGGAGTGTGTTGTGCGTGCGTGTGTATGTGTGAGTATGTTAACTCAGGTATACCTTTAGCTTGTCATTTGGGTTATGGTCTACAGGGTGTAGGCAATGGGGGCGATTCTGGCATGATAACAGAATCATGCATAGATGCCATTTCCCTTGCTATCTAAAGTGTTTCTCATGGGGTTGCTGCACCAGATACCTCTCCAGTGCACAAGCCTTTAATGCAGCTGATGGCAGGCTGTGGGAGTGTGCCCACCTAGCTGACCATGCTTTCCCTTCTGCAGCCTTGTTAACGAGATCTATGAGGTGGACGAAACCATCCAGACTCTACAGAAGCGCTTGAGGGATTCGGAGGACACCCTGCAGGCCTTGGTCCATTGCAAAGCTACCCTGGAGCATGAATTGGCTGTGAAAGCCAACACCCTGTACATAGACCAGGAAAAATGCATGAGCATGCGCAAAAGCTACCCCAACACCCTCCGGCTGGTTGGCTTCTGTTAGGGCCCCCGGAAGTGTGGTTTTCTAACTTCTAAAAAATGGTAGGAGCAAAGATACCCCAGCATCTAAATGAGTGTTAATATAGTCACTATTAAAGGATTGTGTTGACAGAAACACACCACACCTTTGTCTTGGACGGCCTTTCATTTGTGTCAAGACCTTAATTTTCCGTGTACTGGGTTTCTGGATTATGCAAAGGAAATAAGGAAATGTAGTCAATCTACTGGAGAAGGTAAATAGGAGGGTTTGAATGGTTCTCATGGTTGTGTATATAATATGAATGAACTGACAACGAAGACTGTTTTATTCTTGAAGTGACCAGATCACGAGTCATAATGCTGTAGTCAATGCTGAATGCTCCCTAAAGATCTATGTGTTTGTCTTTGTCCTCAAGACAATGCAGATGGGACATGGTGGGACATTTAGAATGTGAAGCCGTGGAGTGCATTGTGGAGCCTTAGAGCATGGGGGTACAATTTGGAAAATGCCTGTAGAATGACATCCTCATCCTGTATCTTTTCCTTCTTGTCCATTCCTCAGCATTGACGCTCTCTGAAATGGGAGACTATAGCAGGGAGAGGCCTTTTCTCATTTCTCACTTTCTCCTCTTTCTCGTGGTGTGTCCAAGTGTGCATGCCCTGCTTTCCCATTGTCCATTAACTCCACAATGTGTGGCCTCCCCTTACTTCTGTGTTTTCTGTCTTACTCCATGCTCTCTCTCCTTATATTGGTTAGTCAATTTTGCAAAACATTTTCGAATGCCAGAAGGGTTGATGTACGCATGATAAGCTTGTGCCCTGGCTATTTTTGTGGTCTCAAATTATCATTTTAGAATCAAATTATAGGTTCGGTTTTGTTCCCTTTACTTCTGATGGAACCAGATATCTCAATGCCACTAAATCATCTCACAGTGAGAGCTAAACAAAATGCCATAATTTTATGAGTTTTACAACCCTCCTATTTACAAACTTAAACTTATATGTCTCTTAGTTGTTATAAGCTTGTGGGAAATATTTCTTTTTCCATGATGCTTTTAATTTGAAGAATACAGACTTAACACCATTCTTTTACTTAGGTCTATATTCCTGGCATTACGAGAATGTGACGGAAAGAAAAACGATGTAGTTCAGACAGAAAAGGCCTAGTTTTCTTATTTTGGTAAACTGTGGGCAAGGCTAAATTCTGTAAATAAACATTTGGTTTTTAGTCTGAAGCATAGTAGCTACTTCATGATCATAGCTACTGCGGTGCTGAATTCTACAAGCAGCTTAGACTCACAGTGTACTTTCATGTTTAAGAATCTCGGGGCTAGAGTGTATACATCACATGTCCTGGCTTGACTTTTTCTGCTTAAACTGTCTTTAAGATGGTGTGACTCTGGGAGGGTCACTGGGCTGCCAAAGGCATCCACTTACCCGGGCATCATTCAAATTTAGAATGTCTGTAACTGCCCCTAAATAGCCAAGCTGCCTATAATTTTAGTAATTTCCACTTATGTCCCTGGAGAATGTTGTTATGGACACCTCTCACCTGGCACTTCTGCCTCCTGAGTTCATGCTATAAATAGGTGAACAGTGGGGGCTGATTTTAAGTTAGATTGTGTGTGTGTGTGTGTGTGTGTGTGTGTGTGTGTGTGTGTGTGTGGGTGCGGGCGCGCGCGCGCGTGTGTGTGTGGGTGTGTGTGGGTGGTGTGTGTGTGTGTGTGTTGAGAGCAGGGATGGACTCCTTCCCTGTGTGTACAGACTCATCTAGAGCACTGAAACTGCTGTTTGTCTTGTGATTCCATTCTTCCAGCCTCCTCTCCTAACCTGGTCCTTACTGGACCTTA